GTCTACTGATCCATATTGTAAGTCTATGGAATGCAATCCAATCCATATACTTATAAATAACCCTGACAAGTTCTTAGATAAATATGGTAATTTATTTGGGTTTCAAATATATGGGACGGGTTTAGACCCTGGGACAATATTGTTTATAGGGATAGAGACTGATACGGTAACCTCCCAAACTCATCAAGTATACCATTCCTTTTATGAAGAGATGAGCATAGATAATAAGATCCCCCATAATGCTAAAAACTTGTTCATTGATTTAGCCGAGAGTATTGCCGGTAGTCTTAATGTTACCAACTGCTATGTGTGTGGAGGTACTAACATGGGAGACCAATGGCCTTGGGAAGCAAAGGAGGTAATGTCCGGTTCTGAGGCAGTTGACCAATTAATATCTACACAAGCCGACTATCATATGAGTGTTAGAGGTAAATCTGAGTGGAGATTGAAGACCTCCATCATAGGTTATGTTTGCATAGCGAGGAAAGGAATGATGTATAATACTTCTGTAGGAGAATTAACTTGTCTAGGGCAAAAAGCTTATGATGATGATACAAAGAATACAACTTGGTGGTCGGCTTCAAATGTCTCAGAACCATCTAACCCGTTTGCAAGATATGCCAATTTAAAGGACGTATGGTTTGATCTATCCATCACATCTAACTGGAGAGCCCCAGCGAATTTGTACTGGATCTGTGGTAAGAAGGCCTATTCGGAGTTACCACAGGACTGGGAAGGGGCATGTGTGTTGGGTATGTTAAAACCATCCTTCTTCTTGTTGCCTATTGAAACAGGTGAGACTTTAGGTGTTAAAGTGTATGATGTGAATCATAGGAAGAAAAGGGGACCCATAGAGATAGGTGCCTGGGAAGATAATGAATGGCCTCCCCAGCGTATTATAGATTATTATGGGCCAGCCACGTGGGCAGAGGATGGTACCTTTGGTTATAGAACCCCTATTTATATGCTCAACCGCATTATAAGGTTACAGGCGGTGGTTGAGATCATTACTAACGAGACATCACAAGCGCTCAATCTTCTAGCGAAGCATAATACCAGGATGAGGACAGCAGTTTACCAAAATAGATTAGCCTTGGATTATCTTTTGGCAGTAGAGGGAGGTGTATGTGGGAAGTTTAACCTGAGCAATTGCTGTCTTCAAATAGATGACGAAGGGCAAGCAATAGCTGAGCTTACTAGCCATATGGTTAAACTAGCGCATGTGCCTACTCAGGTATGGAAAGGGTACAATCCAAGTAGTTGGTTTGGTAGCTGGTATGAGTGGTTTGGAGGGCTTAAGGCAGTGGTAGGTGGAGTCCTACTGATTTTAATGTTGTGTCTACTCCTGCCGTGTCTTATACCCTTAGTAGTTAGGTCTGTGCAAAGCCTGATAGAAAATATAGCAGAGAGGAAGGCTGCTGCACAGATAATGGCAATTTATAAATATAAGGCTCTAGATCAGGGAGAACCAATGCAGGAAGACGAGTGTTGAAGATTCATATCATAGGATAAGTCTGGTCTGGTTCAAAGGTAACTTGTGGTGTATGCAAACCAAGGTTAAGTGATGCCTCAAGTAATTGTAAAATATCAAGAGGCATCAAAGGGGGGAATGTGGTGGAATCTCGGTAAAAATAAATTTAGTAGGCCGAGATTACCACGTGGCATGTGTACGTGCATATGCTGACGTATCGATCAGTTGGTTGCACGAGGCAAGATACGATCAGTAGTGTACGGAGCATGTGCAAGAATACAGGATGTAGTATTCCCCTCCTCCATTGTGCTGGACAAGCCATGCGGTCAAGCAGGAAGTTAATTCTTATTTGTAATGATTGGTCAAGAGAATGTGCGGGTGGAGCTTAATATGGGAGGAGTTATGTGCCTATATAGGAGCCTGCACTATTGTTCAGGGCTCAGAACTTGCTGTATTTTTGGTGACATTAGTCCCTCTGAGTCCCGATCGGTGATCCAATAAAGAATCTCTTCCTTCCTGAAGAAACCTGTGTCCATCCCTCTGTGCTTTGCTTCCGTCAGTTTCTCCGGTATCAAATGTGCATAGCAATTTGGGATAATAATAGGCCACAATAAGAGAATTGGTAAAAAAAATTGTTTGCCTATTTCAGCCTACGATTTGAAATTCTCTTTGATGTCATGATAATTCAAACTTTAGTAAATAAACCGTACTGTTCATTATTACTCTACCTGTTAGTCTAGCTAACACCCGCTATCACAGGGGTGTCAAAACTCCCATGTTTCTTTGCTATTTTAAATCCTGATAACATTTAGGGATCTACCTTTTTAGCTACGTTTGCTCTTTCATGTATAACTATAAAACATGTAACATACCAGGACATACTTGCAAACGAGAGAAATCTCCATGTATCCATCCTGGTAAAATATTTTATAAATAAATAAATATTAAGTTCCCAAGTTCGTGGAAGCTGGATGCAGGCCTTTGTGACGGCCTGGGGCTGGGGGGAAATCTTGCTCGTACCTAGTCTCACAATGCCGCAGAGCCACTTTCGTGCTCCACCAAGCCAGGGCACTGGCTGACTCGGGACTTAATAACCCAAGCCTTCCACAAGTTGGAACACTGACTCACTTAATGGTCACCACCTGAATACTTGCTGCATGTCAACCGACAGATAATAATAACGCTCACTTACTTTTATTTTACTTACTTATTTCCATTTTTATTACAATACGACATTGCTAATTTCATATGCTAAAATAATCTGAGAAATCATTAAGCTTCAATTGTGTTAAGATTAAGCAGCTTGAAATACAACTCACACCCTCTGCTGGTTAAACTATCATCCCCTAGTTGGAGTTTTGTCTAATGCGCAGTAACCTATCTTAGAGCCAGAACATGCCAACTAACTAACCCCTTAAACCTGTCACTAAATTCCCATCCATCGTGAGGGGTCAATACTCTAGTTTTGTGTTATGAGGAAACCCGCATTGGAGTGGACCCAGTGATAATATACTTTAGTACGCCTAGCCTGTTAAGTGCACCTATGCTAAGCGCTCATGCACACTAAGACCTAACCTTTCCAGCATCTCGGTACTCAACTAATACTCAGCGGGGATTGCTAATCCGGGCAAATTAGTTTTACCCTTAAAGCGTCTGTTGCATTTATTCTTTACACATAGTGACTAGCCTGAGACAGTACTATATTGTGTATGTTTGCATAGGTGTTGCTTGCCATGTTTAAATGTTGTTTTCACAAAAAAAGAGGCTGAACAACATAGAGTTTAGTACCATATGTATACCTGCTAGGTTGTCGATTTGTACGCAAGTGGTATGACTCTTTTTCTAATTTCTGTAATGTTACTATTATGCCTCAAATAAAAAACAGATTGAAAAAAAACAAAAACGTAACATATTGGTAATATATAAGGTTTTGTTTTTTTTGTTTTTAAAAAACAATCCCAAAATGAAAACAGACTACTTCAAAGTGCCTGTGTATTTTTTGTCATCTTTTTCTTCTCAAACATTGTACCAGACCAAGCTCCAGCTACACAAAGATTTTTAAATGCCTTTGTAAAGCCCGAGTTACATCTTATTCCATTTACTTTACCCTGAGTTATATATAACAAAATTATGTAAAATAGTTTTTTCCTTTGGGAGTATTTCTCTGTGTTAACCAATAGTAAATATTTTAGAATATTGCCATTTTAAGTATTTTTATTTCATTATCTCTGACTGACATGTATATATGTGTATTTTTATTTCTCGCATTGGTTTGGTGGTTGAACAATGTCTTCTCGCTGGTTGACTATATTCCATGAACTGCAGGTTTGTTCCCTCCACCCCCACCGAGAATTTTCTAAGTTTTTAAGATGATCAATATACTTTAATATAGATATATTCTCATAATTCATATACGAGAGTGTCAAACATATTTTATTGCCTGTTATATTTTATTTTAGTGCTTAGCATGCATAAACTCCATTAGCTGAAAGATAAATTTCGGCGGTAAGACACCTGTAAATATTATCTGAATCAACTGTAACCTTGTTCATTAGTCAACAGTGAGAGATTGGCAGCAGTAGAACAATCAAGGCAACCATTTGCTGTCCGGGATGCTGTGTGCTGTGTCCTAGGCTTTCTTTAGACTTCCGAATAAAAAACAAAATAATGAAGCCACCACACCAGACTGTTAAGTGACAGCAGAATTGTTTCACTAGATTGTGTATCTACAGGGGGTGTCTTTGACAAGACAACAGTTCATTCCATTGAAATCGCATGATGTACCATACATTCAGAAAGTATTTTTTTTTCATGTTGCTGCCTTATGCTAAAATTGAATACATTAAAGGGACACTATAGTCACCTGAACAACTTAAGCTTAATGAAGCAGTTTTGGTGTATAGAACATGCCCCTGCAGCCTCACTGCTCAATCCTCTGCCATTTAGGAGTTAAATCCCTTTGTTTATGAACCCTAGTCACACCTCCCTGCATGTGACTTGCACAGCCTTCCATAAACACTTCCTGTAAAGAGAGCCCTATTTAGGCTTTCTTTATTGCAAGTTCTGTTTAATTAAGATTTTCTTATCCCCTGCTATGTTAATAGCTTGCTAGACCCTGCAAGAGCCTCCTGTATGTGATTAAAGTTCAATTTAGAGATTGAGATACAATTATTTAAGGTAAATTACATCTGTTTGAAAGTGAAACCAGTTTTTTTTTCATGCAGGCTCTGTCAATCATAGCCAGGGGAGGTGTGGCTAGGGCTGCATAAACAGAAACAAAGTGATTTAACTCCTAAATGACAGCGAATTTGCAGGGGAATGATCTATACACTAAAACTGCTTTATTTAGCTAAAGTAATTTAGGTGACTATAGTGTTCCTTTAATTTGTTTTTCACATCAATCTATATACAATGATCCATAATGAAAAAGCAATAAAACAGATTTTTTTAATAGTGCAAATTTATTAGAAGGAAAAAACTGATATGTCACATTGACCATTCAGACCCTTTGCTATGACACTTGAAATTTAGCTCAGCTGCATCCCATTTCTCTGGATCATCTTTGAGACATTTCTACATTTTGATTGGAGTCCATCTGTGACTAATTCAATGGATTTGGGAAGCCAAACACCTGTCTATAGAACAAAATCATGCCGTGAGGTCCAAGGAACTGCCCACAAAGAAGAAGGGCAACAATCACTGTAACCATGGCAGGTTTTCATGTGTCTTGCTGTGAAAAAGCCTCTCCACAGCAAGATACATAAAAGCCCACTTGAAATTTAAGGGGCACTTAATGACTGTCTGACTGTGAGAAACAAGATTCTCTGGTCTGATGATCGAATCAAACCAGGTACCACTTATCACCTGTACAATACTATCCCCACGGCGAAGTCTGATGGTAGTAGCATGCTTTGGGGTTGTTTTTCAGTAGTAGGGACTGGGAGAGGGCTAAGGGAAAGCTGAACATAGCAAAATACAGAGATATCCTTGATGAAACCTGGTATAGCGCGCTCAGGGACTCTGGGCTGAAAGGTCACCTTCCAACAGTACAATGATCCAAAACATACAGCCAAGACAATACCAAGAGTACATGGATAAGCCTAGCCAGAACCTTGAAGCAATTGTTGAAGCTCTGCATAATGTATTTGTTATGAGTGGAGAAACAATTGTCAAAGTGAATTTCAAATTTAATTCCAAAATAAAGAAAAAGGAAAATATAGCTAAACTGGACACTTTTTCAAGTTCGGCTGTTGTGGTATAACATTTTAAATTCACTTTCAACACCCAACAATTCACGCTTTAGTGAACTACTCTGTAAGAGTGTTCTCTGTGCCTGTGTAGTATGAACATTTACAAACTTTGACAAAATAATATTTGTAAACTCATGACTGTTTTTTTTATTAGGCTTTGGGACACAGCGGTCTGCACACCACAGTTATTCAAAGAGTGCAGACTTTGAGCATCTGAGAATTCTTCTACAATTATTTAACTTTTACTGTGCTCCTCTCCACATTACAGTGTGTATTTGTACAGGCAGAGGGACATATTGGTGGACATACTGGCACAAAAGGCGTAGAGAACCCAACCCTTTGGTAACAATTATAGCTATAAGCTAAAGGAGAATATGCATTGAGCCGGGATAAAACCAATGTGAGTGGTATCATAGAAAAGGCTTTTTCAGTTGTGGACAAATGAGGAATTGTTGAAATGTTTCATTAGTAATCTGTCTACAAATCAAAGTGAGACCATGGGAGCGAATGTTTAAAGAATGTTGCTTTGTGTGATCTGTGTGAGTAAACGTTCCATGTTGTAAGATTCCGCTACCATCTGTATGCCAACGACACCCAGATATATCTCTCCTCCCCGATCCCCGAAAACTGAGTCTCAGAAAACATAGTCTCTGAGTCACGTACAGATGCAATGCAGGTCACATTAATGGAGATTGCAGGGTTATATAATCTCAAATAGGGGCTCAGATGCCTTCCCAATTAACAGTAATAGAGTCAGGGGAAGTGGGGATATTTGAACGGACAGAGGAAAAGGTGCAGCTTTCTCCTATGAGTGAAGGAGCAAACTATGACTTTCGTAATTTTGGGAAATTATAATTCCAAGCAAATGTGTGCAGGTAGACAGTGCTTATACTAAAAGTGTATGATTTCATGGTACTTGGAGTGTCCATTTAATGCAAGCTAAACTAAAAAAAAAAAAAAAGCAGCTCAATAGAAAAGTAGCATGAGTGATAATATATACACAATAAGAAAATAGAAATAATTATTTGGAAGAAATGGTTCCAGCAACTAAAAGGGCAAACATAAATTACATTGATTAAGGGAAGAAAAATCACTATTTTCTCCAAATAGTTCTTTTTTCATAGCAGCTGACTGGGGACTGCAGGTATACTCCAAAAATATACATAGCCAATACAGAAACATTGAATGCACTCGAGTGCTCACCCTTTACACGGAATCGGATAAGGACTTTGCATTGTCATAGCAACTCTGCCCTTCTCACTGATTAGCGTAAGAGGTGCACTGCTGAGAGGTAGTTTATCTGTATAAGCAGAGCTCAGCAGCTAATACACTAACGATACTGTTAATCTTCCCTTCAACAAGTACTCTTTATTTGCCAGTATATATTTCACGTGCATATTTTGATTTTTTTTTTTGTGTGTGTTTTCATAAAATGAATATTACTCATACTTTCTTTGCTACTATTAATACATTTTAGTATTTTTTTTAAATTTATTTTTTGAATAGTTTCCTTTAAGAACTTGTTACTCTCTTTTCTGTTTGAATTTGATATTTTGAAATTGATAGAGGAATACATTATCGCTGACTTAACTCTAAAACACCTCGAACATTACTATATTGGGCTTAAATTGTGAGATCTTTTTTTTTTGTGTGTTTCTATGTTTGGGAACCTATTGCACATGTGTGGCAAGAGCCGCACGCTCTCAAGCTTCCCCATGGAAAATAATTGAATCATTGCTTTCTTATGGGGGCACCTGTGTGACAAAGCTTTACTTGGTAAGTGCAGCCAAAGCGCCTCTAGTGACTGTCATATTAAAAGCCACTAAAGGTGAATTTAATCCTGAATGAAATACATTGTAAAAAAACTGTAATGTTTTACATTTTGCAAACGCTATTTAGGAATAACAAAAAATATTCTGACCCCTCTTGTGGTATTGTATCATTCCCTGTATCAGGGAGACCTATTTATTTAAAGGGACACTATAGTTACCCAGACCACGTCATATCAATGCAGTGGCCCTGTCCCCCATCTGCAGAGTCAGTGATGCTGAATTAAAAAATAATAATAATAGTAATGTCCAGTTTGGAATGTGGTATATTCTGAATTTCCACTTTCTTTAGTCTGGAATACTGACAATGAATATTCCAGTTTGGAATGTGGTATATTCTGAATTTCCACTTTCTTTAGTCTGGAATACTAACAATGAATATCATTAATGAAACTAAATGATATTTTTAAATGATGTATATTGGTTTTTTTCTTAAAGAAAATTTCACTTTTTATCCGTTTGAGCAGCTATGTTTAGTCAAACTCTACTGTTATCTGTTTGTATTTTTTTTATTCATCCCTTCTTTCTCTAGACAGACCTGTGTCCTGTTATTTGCAAAATAAAAAAATTCAAAATTGTTGCAACATCATCTGCAAGCAATTCAAGAGAATTTAGTAGAATTGTACCACTCCCAAAAAGGCCAAACATTTCCAAAAGGACCAGAATACATTTTTCCAGGTGTCTAAACACCAAGCAATCAAATATAACAAAGTAAAAGAAGTAAATGACTCAGACGATCTGGAATCATGTCTCAAAAATATACTGAATATTGAATACACAGGCCTTAAGAAACAGTACAGCATCGCCTTTACATGCTACCTGTAGCTGCAATTATCCTTTGATTCTCTCTGGCCATCAGCTCAAAATTTCCCCTGCTTCCTGTTGTTTCAACTTCCCATATGAACCTCTAAATTGTTAACACAAAGGCTGTTTAGCCAAATACTTTGTATAAAAGAGCTTTGGTGACTAGATCACAGCTCAAGGGCAGAGCCTTTACCTTTGGTATTGTTCTTTGTATATTGTACTGTCTTTTCCCCCAATTGTAGAACACTACAGAACAGGTTGATGTTTTATAAATGCCTGTAATAAAAATAATCTTGAAACTCAACAGCAGGAAAGTTAGGTTGAGCAGCAGCTGGTCAGATAACAGAGGACTCTGACTCAACATGGCTGCTCAGTCAGATTAAAAAAAATATATTAAATTTTCTCAAACAAAATATATAATTAAGTTTTCTTCAATGTAATAAACTTTAAAGAAATGAAAAGTGGAAATTTGATGACAGTTGTCCTTTAACCCCTTAAGGACCAAACTTCTAGAATAAAAGGGAATCATGACATGTCACACATGTCATGTGTAGTGATGTCGCGAACCGTTCGCGAACTTCCAGGCGAAGCTGCCTTCAGCATTGATGCTGTCCAGGAGGTGGGAGGGTCTGGAAGGGAGGGTCTGCTGGAGATTGGCCGGGATTTGTCAGCTGACCGGAGCTCGTGGCGAACGGTTCGCGACATCTCTAGTCATGTGTCCTTAAGGAGTTAAACAAGTTTCTGATCACACCTTTCATTCTATGTTAGTTAGTAGCTAAAGTGCTATAGAGGACAGGAGTGTTTGTTTAAAATGTGTCTAATTGTGTGTTGGTGAATGGCAACTGGTCTTTTTTCAGAGACCAACACTCTGCCGGTGAGATGTGTATATAGAAAGGATAAGTAGCAAAATGTCTATTTTGAAGCTATAGCTACATTATTGGTGTTATTTCATTAGAAGTACTCCCACACAAAATTATTCCAGAACTCTGAAACTGCCCTGACTTTAGACCTTGGCAATCCTCACCTCATTACAGCCAGCAAGCTTGTCACGGCTTCCTAGCAACCATAAAGAGGAAAATACCGCAACCTAACTTTATAAACACGTCACATGAATAGAATCCGTGATTCAGTCATTAAAACTTTATAAAATCGATTTTGTATCCCTCATATTACACTCTGATTAATCCTGTGTCTTCCGCATCTGTTGCTGTAGAAAGTACTCTAAAAATAGAACGTCCGGCCAGCGCTGGTAGAACGCTGATCATTTACAATAACAACCATTATGCAGGAGTTGGACATGTGCTTTGAATTTATTTTTCTTCATTTAAGCTAGAAAAGGTTGTTTTCCCTGTCTATTGTCTCACAAATGCAGCTCGGAGATGTTTTTAAAAGACCTACAATAATAATGTGTCACATTTCACCTGCTTAACAGAAATGGCACTGGCAATCATTTCTTATCGCACCTGCTGACAGATAATGAATGCAAATCTGTGGTTTTGTATTTTGTATTTTTTAAATTTAAGCTATATCTTTTGAGCCAAACTTTTTTTTTACAATTTCATTTCAGTAAATTGCCATTCCCTTTTTTTAAATCAGTAGTAGAATATGCTGTCTGTGATATCCCACTAGTAAATGCTTAACATCTGAAAAATTGGATGTTCGCTAACCAAATTTGCTTTCAAACCCAACAATTAAAACCTCTCTTATCCTTCATAATATTGCCATATCATTAACTGTCAAAGCAAACTGCCTCTATGCTACATTTTAGTATGTTTTTTCTCTTTTTTTATTCCGTTTCTAAATCCTGACGCTTTCACTTAAACTCCATTCCAGTAACCAAATTAAAAGTAAACTAAAATTATGATCTACATTCTGTTGTGTCCGGAATTACTGCTGCTCTCTCCTAGTAGGTCTGACCCCTACTACTCACTTCATGCCTATGCTGTCAATGATGAAAACCTAATCTGTATCACTTGAGATTCTGAAGCGTACCTATTAGGACAGGGCTACAATGCTCCCCCTTATAATCTAGCATATGTCTTAAAGTGCACCATAACAACTGCAGACCCCTGCTGTAGTTATAGTACCAGGAGTCCATGGGCAAATTGGTAATTGGTCAAACCGTTTATGGATATTTTGACACTTATCGTGCTGTGTTGGGCACCTGCTGTCCTTCAGATCTGAGTTGGTCTGAGCTTTTACTTCCAATATTATATACGAACTCATACCTGGGTTAAAACAGTACTTATTGGCTGAGAGTGTCAGTCAAGGAGGTGGATCGGGTCAGGGCCAGCACTGGCAGAACCCTTCTGCGCTGGAAATAAGGAGAGCTTTTACTATATTTAAGGGGGAAAGGGATGGCCTGGGGGCTAAATAGTGATTTTAACACTATGCGTCAGGAATACACATTTGTGTTCTAGACCCTATAGTGTTCCTTTAACACATTTTACAGGATGAATGCGCTCTTTCTAAGTTTCCTGGTTAGCTAAGCACATTCTATGGGATGTTTAAACCATGACTGCAAATATATATATTTTTTTAAAGGTTACCACGTGGAAAGAATCGAGAATTAATATGTATTACGTTCATCCTAAGAAGCAATCAAATGCCATTAAAGCAAGGTTCACTTGTTGTTAAATGGTAATAGTTATTTCATAAATATTTAATAAAACTACCAGTAACGGGATTAATCTGTAATGAATTCACTGATGGTGACATTATGCAAATAATTTAACAATGACTTTATAGTCCTTTCATGTGATTTTTATGACGGCATCAACATCTAACAACGGCATTAACATCAGGAAACTAAATATATGGTCCTTTAATTCCAGTTTAAAATCATATTTGCCCTTAATTGCCTAATTTGTAACTATAGCAGTGTTACCATTTATATGTGTACTTTGCCAGAGTAATTTTCTGTGAATGCAGTTTTTTTTTATAGAAACGTAGAATGTGACTGCAGTTAAGAACCATTCGGCGCATCTACTCTGCCCAATTTTCTAAATATTTTCATTAGTCCCTGGCCTTATCTTATAGTTAGGATAGCCTTATGCCTATCCCACGCGTGCTTAATCTCCTTCACTGTTTTAACCTCTACCACTTCAGCTGGAAGGCTATTCCATGCATCCACTACCCTCTCAGTAAAGTAATACTTCCTGATTTTATTTTTAAACCTTTGCCCCTCTAATTTAAGACTAGGTCCTCTTGTTGTGATAGTTTTTTTTCTTCTTTTAAATATACTCTTCTCCTTTACAGTGTTGATTCACATCATATCACTTGCCTCGTCATTCTTCTTTAAGATTATTTAACCTTTCCTGGTTTTACCCTGCAATCCATTAACCAGTTTTGTAGCCCTTCTCTGATCTCTCTCCAAAGTATTAATATCCTTCTGGAGAGATGGTCTCCAGTACTATGTTCAATACTCCAAGTGAGGTGTCACCAGTGTTCTGTACAGTGGCATGAACACTTCACTCTGTCTACTGCTAATACATCTCTCTATACAACAGTGGTGTCCAACCCGTGGACCACTAGCAGTGCAGCCTGGGCTGGGATCTCTGTGCTCCTCCTGGACAGCTCCCCTGTGTGCCCTGCAGTGAGCCGGCAACCGGGATATGACATCATCCTGGCATCAGCATCACTGCTGGGCGTACGAGGGACCTGTGCAGGAAGAACACAGTGATCCCAGCCCAGGCTGTACTGCTAGCGGTCCACGGGTTGGACACCACTGTTGTATAGAGAGATGTATTAGCAGTAGAAAGAGCAGCAGAAACCACTGGCCACCATGGATAGATGATCCATGCCAGCCCTCTCAGAGCTAGGTAGGGGGGCTGGATGGACCTATTTATTACTAAACATGTGTGTATGTGATTTTTTTTTATTGTGTGTGAAGGGGGTGGGGGATCTGTGTGTATTTCTGTGATTGTGTGTAAGTCAGTAATTATATGATTGTGTGTGTGGGTCTAAATGTGTGTGTGTATATGTATGTGATTGTGTGTACACGTCTGTTATTGTATGTGTGTGTGGGTCTGTGATTATGTGTGTGTATGTATGTATCTGTAATTATGTGTGTATAGGTCTGTGATTGTATGTGTGTGTGGGTCTGTGATTGTGTGTGTGTGGGGGGTCTGTAATTGTGTGTGTATGTCTGTGTGTGTACATCTGTGATTGTGTGTGTGTGTATGTGACTGTGTATAGGTCTGTAATTGTGTGTGTATATTTGTTATTGTGTTTGAATAGGTCTGTGATTGTGTGTGTATGTATCTGATTGTGTGTGTGTATGTACATCTATGATTATGTGTGTGTATGTATGTGACTGTGTGTGTATAGGTCTGTGATTATATGTATGTGTGTGGGTCTGTGATTGTGTGTGTTTATATTTGTGACTGTGTAAAGGGCTGTGATCACGCGTGTGTGTGTGTGATTATGTGTGTATAGGTCTGTATTTATATATGGTGTGTGGGTCTGTGATTGTGTGTGTGTATATTTGTGACTGTGTGTATAGGTCTGTGATTGTATGTGTTGGTCTGTGATTGTGTGTGATTATGTGCGTGTATATGTGTGGTTATGTTTGCATATGTATATTCATGTGTATGTGTTTAGTAGACAGCTCCCTAAGTTGATATCCTTAAATATGGCAATCCTACGTAAGGATAACAAATAAGGGAGTTATCTACTAAACAAATTTAAGAAAAGGGCTTTTGAAGTTTTATCATATAAATTAATTATATTATAGATTTTATGTGTGGCCCAAGACAATTCCTCTGCGCTCAATGTGGCCCAGGGAAGCCAAAAGGTTGGACATCTATGCTATACAACCAGGCATTCTGCTAGCATTTCCTGCTGCTCTATTACATTGTCTGCCTACCTTTAAGTCACCTGAAATAATTACCCCTAAATCAGTAGTGGGATTCAAACATTTTAGTAACCAGTTCTGACTTTTCATGTTTCCAACTTCACAGGGCCAGCCAAAGACATTGTGCGCTGCCTGGGTCCAAGACTCTCATCCCACCGCCACAGTCATGCATGCACATACACATCGACGCAGTCACTCATATATACCCTTTGGAGCAATATATATATAGATAGATATAGAATTTATCATGCCAATGAACATTAAATGCATAAACCTGTAACCTTGATAAATCATGCCAATGAACATTAAATGCGTAAACTTGGTACATTATGCCAATAAAGCAATAAATACATAAACTTGGTATTTCATGCCAATGAAGCAATAAATACATAAACTGAATATATCATGCCAACGAGCAGTAAATGCATAAATCCAGAATATCATGCCAAAGAGCAGTAAATTCATAAAATTTGTATATCATGCCAATGAGTCACATGTGCCTCCAAAATGCCTGCTAGTTCCATGTGCCCTCAAACACCCTGCCAGTGCCACCTCTCTGCCACCAGCCTCCCTTTGCCTTGTCTCTGCCTCTAGTGAGGGTGACAGGGTGTGTGTTGGTGACAGTTTAAGTGGGATGGTGACAGTGTGTGTGAGAGGGTGACAGTGTGTGTGAGAGGGTGACAGTGTAGACGTGCTAGGGTGCCATTCCCCCCTTCCATCCATGTCTCTCTGTAAGAAATTGAGACCCTTTTACAAGGTTATCTTTTAGGGAATGTTTGACAAATAAGACACAAATACATGTGTACAAAATCAAGGTATTGCTAATATTGATTTAGGATACTGTTGCAGATTTTAAAATGAAAATACTTAATACACATTATAACCATATCCAGTCCAAAACCTTAAGATACAAAGTAAAAGGGCAATACCTAAATCTTTAAATGAAGATCTTCCCCTTGCGCCTTCATCTTTGGTAGTCTAGGACAGTCTCTATCACTTCACAATGGCACCTTTGCTTTGCTGTGTTGTCCTCACCAAAAGAGACGAAGAGAGATCCTTGGCTATTGTCCTTTTAAGACTGATTCTTGCAGTCCTTAACTACATGTCCCAGAATCCCATTCACCTCCCAAAATGAGGTTAAACCAGCCCCCTTTAGTTATGTTTTTACACAAGTCTTTCCCTTTGATCTCTTCCCTCCAGTTATACTACAACACTCTGTAAGAAGTGACCAGTTAGGTTAGGTTTCTGAGTAGGTCGGACAGGATGGCTTGGAAAAGCACACTTCCATGGTTACACCTAGATGTAAATTACTCATCTGATCTTTTGTTTTAGCTGGGTGCTGTAAAATGCAACTTCAAGCTTTGATCTTTATCACACTGTTCTCAAGTAGATGACCCCAAGTTGTGAAAACAGTCTCACACACAGAAAGTTGTTTAGAACATTGCATTTTTGCATATAAATTTCTTACATCTCCCTCCTTCCATCTGTCTCTCTCCCCCTTCCATCCGTGTCTCTGTTACCCTCATCCGCCCCTTAGGCCCCATCCCCTCCATGTCCCCCTCTCCCCATCCCTCTTCCATCCATGGCTCTCCCCCTCCCCATATGTCCCCCTACCCGTTCCATCCATGTCTCTCCCCTTCATGTCCCCTTCCCTCTTCCATCCGTGTCTGTGTACCCCTTTCTTTCATGTCCCCATATGCCTTCCATCCATGGCTCTACCCCTCCCCTTATGTCCCCATCCCCTTTCCATACATGGCTCTCCCCCTGCCATCCATGTGTCTCCCCCTCCATGTCCCCTGCCATCCATGTGTCTCCCCCTCCATGTCTCCTGACATTCATATCTCCCACCTCCATGTCCCCTGCCATCCATTTTTCTCCCTCCTCCATGTCCCCTGCTATCCATATGTCTCCCCCTCCATGTCCCCTGCCAGCCATGTGTCTCCCCCTCCATGTCTCCTGCCATCCATATCTCCCTCCTCCATGTCCCCTGACATCCATTTTCTCCCCCCTTCATGTCTCCTGCCATCCATGTGTCTCCCTCCATGTCCCTGCACCATCCATGTGTGTCTCCCTCCATAAACCTCCTGTCCATGTGTCTCCCCCTCCATGTCCCCTGCCATCCATATCTCCCACCTCCATGTCCCCTGCCATCCATGTGTCTCCCTCTCCATCTCCCCTGCTATCCATGTGTCTCCCCCTCCATGTCTCCTGCCATCCATATCTCCCACCTCCATGTCCCCTGCCATCCATTTTTCTCCCCCCCTCCATGTCCCCTGCTATCCATGTGTCTCCCCTCATGTCCCTACCATCCATGTGTCTCCCCTCCATGACCTGCCCGGCCATGTCCTCCCCCTCCATGTGCATGCCATCCATATCTCCCACCTCCATGTCACCTGCCATCCATGTGTCTCCCCTCCATGTCTCCTGCCATCCATATCTCCCACCTCCATGTCCCCTGACATCCATTTTCTCCCCCCTCCATGTGTCTCCCCCTCCATGTCCCCTGCTATCCATGTGTCTCCCCCTCCATGTCCCCTGCCATCCATGTGTCTCCCCCTCCATGTCTCCTGCCATCCATATCTCCCACCTCCATGTCCCCTGCCATCCATTTTTCTCCCCCTCCCCCTCCATGTCCCATGCTATCCATGTGTCTCACCCTCCATGTCCCCTGCCATCCATGTGTCTCCCCTTCCATGTCCCCTACCATCCATGTGTCTCCCCCTCCATGTCCCCTACCATCCATGTGTCTCCTCCCCATATTCCCTGTCATCCATGTTTCTCCCTCCTCAATGTCCACTTAACCATTCCATCCATGTGTGTCTCCTTCCTCAAGTGGCAGACAACTGCTTGGCTCCCTTCTAATTTAACTGCCTAGGCAGGGGAGAGGGGCCTCTTGCAGTCCAGCACGGCGCTCTCTGCTTCCTCACACGGAGCACTGGGTATTCACGTGACACCTGGCACTCTTGCGCAGACCGCGAGGGGGGAGGCGCTCCCCAGCTTGCTTAGTCTGCATATGGTTCCCTTATGGAGCCACACACTGCCTGAAGGTGGATGAGAGCGCAAACATTATTTGTCAGACTGACAACTGATTTTTGTGCTCCAGGTGGGGGCCGGTTTAACCGCCGGTTCAACAAACTTGTTAAATGTTAGTAACTGGTTTCAACCCTGTTACATAGCTTAGTATCATCAGCAAAAAGACATACCTTACAATCAAGACATTCTGCAATATCACTAATAAAATTATTAAATAGAATGGGTCCAAATACAGATCCCTGAGGTACCCCACTGGTAACAAGACCATGCTTCGAATATACTCAATTGACTACAACCTTCTGTTGCCTGTCACTCAGCCACTGCATTACCCATTCAACAATATAAAAATCCAAACTTAAAGATTGCAGTTTATTGATAAGCCTTGTATGTGCAACAGTGTCAAAAGCCATAGTGAAATCTAGGTAAGCAATGTCTACTGCACCACCCTGATCTATTATTTAACCAATCAAAAAAATCAATAAGATTAGTTTGACATGAAGTAAACCTGTGTTGTCTCTGATCTTTAAATCCATGTGATTTTAGATGTTCAACAGTGTTCCATGACTTTCCACACTACTTAAGTAAGGCTTGCTAGCCTATAGTTGCCTGTCACCTTACTACTACATTTCTTGTGAATGAGCACAACATTTGCTAATTTCAATTCTTCTGGGATTACTCCTGTTAACAATGATTGGTTAAATAAATCTGTTAATGATTTTGCAAGTACACCAATAAGCTCTTTTAATAACTTTGGGTGTATTCCATCAGGCCCTATCGACTTATTTGTAAATGGTAGTGGATTCAGTGCTTAGTGTCTCAATGGAATAGTGTAAGGTATATATAAGTTTAGGCAGCAACCTAAAGTTAAGACGTTCCCTCACAGTACGTCAAAGAAAGGGGAAAATCTGAAAGATAGAAGGTTATAGGTCGCACCAAAAAAATCATATGTAGAAAAATAAAACAAATGATACAAATGTAAATCAAAACTGAAATATCTTCATGAGAGACTATTGAACGATGTAGAAACAATATAGTAAGTACTTACATATATCAGTACATTAGAACAAAAATAAGTCCTAGAGTAAGCAGGAAATGGTCAAATCCACTTGAGAAGTTGTAAAAGGGGAATAGTCCAAACAGAGGTGGAGGAATAATCATAGTTTCTTGTTCCGGATGACAATATGCAAATAGAACAGAGGGAAATTCCAATAGTGTAGACTGTAACTTGAGCTTCTTTATGAAGATTCAAAACAAAAGGGTATCGCACTCACCTATTGTGGAGCTTGAACTAGCTCAGGTATACTTCACACTCAGTGGTATTAGTCCCCCACTAATGGGGTGTAGGCGTATACACGTGAAGGAAATCCTCGAGAGAGAAGAGGGTAACACAAAATAGTGCTCACTGTATAGATATTGTATTTTGCGTGAAATAAAATATATGTTGAATACTCACATTTAAGTGAGCAGGATATACTGCTCACTTGTTTGGCGTAGGTGGTATAATCCCCACCTAGGATTCTTGAGCAAAGGGATATTGATATTTAAAATAGTAACCAGGTCCAGAAGTAAAATAAAAAAATAAAAACTGAAATAAAAGGTATTTGGCAAAGAAGAAAAAATGTATACTAGCCAATAATCCTTTATTAATATAATATAAAATAAGATAGCCAAAACGCGTTTCGCCACACAGGGCTTTATCAACTGGCAATTGGAAAAAACATTTTTTTCCAGGATTTCCTTCAAGTGTATACCTCAGGGATCTGTACTTGGACCCATTCTATTTAATAATTTTATTAGTGATATTGCAGAAGGTCTTGATTGTAAGGTATGTATTTTGGCTGATGATACTAAGCTATGTATTTTCTCTCGAGGATCTCCTTCACGTGTATACGCCTACACCCCATCAGTGGGGGACTAATACCACTGAGTGTGAAGTATACCTGAGCTAGTTCAAGCTCCACAATAGGTGAGTGCGATACCCTTTTGTTTTGAATCTTCATAAAGAAGCTCAAGTTACAGTCTACACTATTGGAATTTCCCTCTGTTCTATTTGCATATTGTCATCCGGAACAAGAAACTACGATTATTCCTCCACCTCTGTTTGGACTATTCCCCTTTTACAACTTCTCAAGTGGATTTGACCATTTCCTGCTTACTCTAGGACTTATTTTTGTTCTAATGTACTGATATATGCAAGTACTTACTATATTGTTTCTACATCGTTCAATAGTCTCTCATGAAGATATTTCAGTTTTGATTTACGTTTGTATCATTTGTTTTATTTTTCTACATATGATTTTTTGGCGCGACCTATAACCTTCTATCTTTCAGATTTTCCCCTATCGACTTATTTGTCTTTACTTTTGACAGTTGAAATAGAATCTCTTCGTCTGTAAACTCACATGTAACAAATAACTAATTTGTCCTTTTTCCTGAGGCCCCTTTCCTTCATTTTTATCTGTAAATACTGAACAAAAATATTCATTGAGGCAGTCAGCTAGACCTGTATACTCTTCTACATATCTATCTTTTTTTGTTTTTAATCCAACCAATCCTTATTTTACTTTCCTTTTATCATTTATGTATCTAAAATATGTTCTACCAGTTTTACTGACTGGGCCATTTTATCTTCTGTGTGTGATTTTTAAACTCTTATAACTTGCTTAGCCTCTTTCTGCCTAATCTTATAGATATGTCTATCTTCACCACTTTGGGTTCTTTATAATTACTAAATGCTAACTTTTTTTGTACTATTTTGGCCACTTCTGTGGAGTACCACAATGGTTTCTTCACTTTTTTGCTTTTTATTATTATTTAATATATTCCACCAATATTTCATGTACACACAGTTATTTATATTTTCAGTGTTAGAATTTGGTTGATAAACCTTTTCTATTGTATACAACAAATGCTAATTCTACCCACCCCCTCTGTCTCCATTCTTAGTGCCTCCTTGTCGCAAATACCTTTATATAACTGTCTCATGTCCATCTCTGTT